AAAAGTCACCGAATACCGATTTCAGAAAGGTCTATTAGTTTTTATAGGAAATGGAAAGAGAAAAAACGCTCTTTAATCAAGTTAAAATTCTTTACCAATTTCGCTGTTTCTCTTCGACGATGTCCGGTCTCCGTCTCGTTTAAAATCGATAACTATAAACAAATTAAGGTATTTTGTACCGTGTTAAAAAATTTAAGAAAAAATTTTTTTTTTAAATAGTAAACTTTGACAAATATATACAATATTCTAAAAGATAAATCACATTTATGTGATTATACAAAAATTTTATTTATTTTTCTAAAATAATATGGATTGTCCTCTAAAATATATATAGTGGCTCGCAAAAAGTCTGCTTTTTATATGTTACTTTTTCAGAAAGTGTTATTCCTGATAAAACTTGGTGTGTAATTAAACCTAAAACTTTATTTATTTCAAAAATTCTGTATTATAAATATAAATTTGGCTGCACAGTAAACTAGGTACTCTTCTAGGAACCGAACCCACATTTTTACATATAAGATTAATTTAAGAAAATGTATACAACTCCAGATAGTAGTTTTTTAGTTAATACAATTAATATAGATTATTATATCCTTTTTAACCTACTTCAAAAAGGAGGAGGTTCTCAATTCGTCTGTATATATATTTTTTATGTATGTTCAGCGATAATTCTTTAACACAATGTCCGATTTAAATGATTCTTTTTTTTGCTGGAAAGAGGATACTTCCGGGACGGTCCGTTTTAATTTTGGTCAAAATCTAATAATTGGGTCCATGAGAAAATCCTCAAACTTTTCATTTTTTATGTATGTTTAGCGATAATTATTTACCACCTTGTCCGATTTCTATAATTCTTTTCGTTAGTAAGGGGGTACCTCAGGGGTGGTCCCATATAAATTTGGTTAAGATGTGGTGATGGCATCAGCACGATTTTAAAGTCGGCTTTTTAAAATTACTTTTAATACTTGTTACGTAAATTAAAAGTTTAATAATTTGGTGCTTTCTTGATGCGTCGTTTTATGAACACTTTGTATATGTTTAAGTACAGATAATTATTATTACTGGCAGTTTATTTTAAATCATTAAAATAATATTTAAAGCCATGTCACATTCAGTGTAATAATAAAAATTAGATATATAAATATAGTATATTATGTACCAACAGACTAAACTTTCACTTTCAATCCCGCCTTTTTGTCGTAAAAGACTTCTAAATTTTTACTAGTGACGTCCGTACCGGGTTTGAACTGAATATTTTTGAACAAAAATATGGTACGCTACTGCTTCTTCTAAAAACCAAAATTATCTTTAAAATCCTTATTTATTTTGGAACAAATTTGGTTTATAGACCTACTTTCGTACGACGCACCCTTTTCGCGTAAGAAAATAAAAACCAGTTTATTGAAATTTGGTAGGAACCCACCATGAGTTGAAACACTTTTTTTTTGGGCAAAATAAAATAGTTATTTTTTTCTTAAAACTTTAACACCCAAGGATTCACACCCTTAAGTATTGGCACTCAATTAATAAATACCCTACATTAAATTACCTTATTCGAACCAATCGTCTATTTTTTCGTTATTTGTATTTATATTTCACAATTCTATACTCTTAAATCTAATTTAATCTAACTAAACCTATTCACTAAATTAAAATATAAAAATAATGTAGAACCCTCTAAAAAATCGAATTGCGTTATAACAATATCTCGCAATGCACCGAGAAAAACAAATACGATTCTGGTTCCCCTAATTTAGGTAACTCTGACTCACTCAAGAACAAGAACTGATAAACGTCTGTCGGCAGCCGTTGTAAAATTTTTAGGTTCCTATGAGTCTCAACTTAGTGCGTTAGAGTTTGGAATACGTATCCCTCGTATCTACAGGCAATAGTTAAAATTATGAATGAATGCGGATTTTGTTTAGTCTCGGAAGTAATTTTGTAGTATTTAGGCTCCACCCTTAAGTTGTAATTTTTATACCTACTAAACTACCGTTGCCCCGCAGGTCTTTCAGTTTGTAATGTAAATTTTCCTCTTAAAGATTATTTAGCTAGATGTTAAGAATAATATTTATTTATTTATACTGCAAAAGAAACAAAATGCAATCCGTTTACATGTTATACAGTTTAATAGCACTTACAATAATTACTAAAACTAAAAATAAATTTAACAATGGTATACAATTAATAAAAATATAATATGTATAATATTAAGAGTTATATAAGTTATAATAGTTTTTGTTAAAATGTATGTTTATCGAATATTCATTTCAATTTGTTGAAAGACATATTAAAAAGGTCAATGTTACTGCTAATCATGAACCGATCTAGTATTTGAAGAGAGTTATCAATAGGTGAGAATAAATTATTGTTGGAAAATAATGTGTATCTTTGCCTAAGGCGAATATCTGGTACGCTGAAATTGATGGAGGCTAGTAATTCGGGTAAATTAAAATTTCCATATATAATATTTGTTATAAATGTTAATTGGGCTTTGTTTCTTTTGCTAAATAGTGTTTCAATATTAAAATCTATTAACTGACTCTGGTAAAAGATACGTAAGGAGTAGTCTACATATTTTTTCATGTGTAGAGTTCTGACAAAACGCTTCTAAACTTTTTCCAAGGTATCATTATAAAGGATTGTTTTGGTTGACCAAATTATACAGGCATATTCTATTTTAGATCGTACGAATGCATTAGAACTTTGCATGTTTCGGTAGAAAAATCATGGCAAGCACTGAAAATAAATGCGAATCTTCTATAGAGAAACAATATTAACTAATAATTTAGTATCGAATAGGCGCACCTTGTACTCGCAAAAGTTCTGCTTTTCTTCTCGGCATACTGTCCACCAAGTTTTTAATAAACTCTTGAGGAATAGCTTCCCAGCTTCCCTCTCTAATTGCAATTGCCAATTCTTCCAAATTTTGTAATTCTTGCTCTCTTTGATTTAATTTTAGTTTCATTCTACTCCATATGTGTTCAATTATATTCATATCCGGCGACTTAGCAGGCCAATTCATTCGCTCGATACCATTCTCGCTCAGACATTCTTGGACAATTCGAGCCCTATGTGGACAAGCATTATCATCCACCAGGATAAAATCTTCGCCAAAGTTCTGAGCAAAGGGAATGATAATCTCATTCACACACAAATCACGATACCTAACGCCATTCATACTTTGTCCAATCAAAACTACCAAATCAGTTTTGGCATTCCTCATTACCCCACCCTATACAGTCACACTTCCTCCTCCAAACGGCTTCCATATTATCTTTAATGTACCGCTCATTCTTTTCTTTCCCGACTAAACATTCGACGAACCATTCTATACAGTGCAAAGAGACATTCATCAGTAACCATGCAACATCTCCATTCTGCTATTCCCCAGTTAAAATGTGTTGGAGTCCATATTCTTCGAGAAACTTGGTGGACAGGCTGAGGAGAAGGACATGCAGATCGTCTTCTGGCATTTAAATTTCGTTCGTGAAAACAGTCTTTGATGGTAGTAGTCAACACTATCGTTTCCGTTATTTTTTGTTTCGCCTTTATTTGTGTTCATTTAGAATTCTTTTCCGTCTGACAGATAGGTTCATCAGACGATCTTCTGTGAGTGTCGTACATCTTTTGCGACCGCATTGCCGAATTTTTCTATATACAACACTGAAAAATGACTTTTTACTGAAAATCACATCAGGCCATTGATATAAGAAATAATTAACTTTCAGAATCTTCTTCATTTTTAAAAATCGGCCAAGGCATTTCCGAGATACAGTCTCCTACAAATGACGTTAAAATTATCGACTTATTTCGTGAGCAGTTTATTTTATATTAAATAAGAAACTTGATTTAAATAAAATGTATACTTACTATCCACCTGTTTAATGAGGAATCACGTTTTTGTCATTTTTTAAAATTATTCCTTGTATCCTGAGTTTCCAAGTTTCCTCCACGAAATTCTCCAAAATTCCTTCGGAGTTATTTCAGAATTACAGAATTCTATAATCGGCAATAAACAAATTTAAAGATGAAATTTTAAATTATTAATCGTCTTTTTGTGGTCTGTAAAATGTTTGTTCAGTAGTATTAGAAATGTCAAATTCGTATATGTTTTTCTACACCAAACACCTAAACTTGCATCTATCCATCCACCCACCC